AACAACAAAAACAAAAACAACAACAAAGACAACGGTCCGATCGGGTTTTCGGAACACACGCTGCTGGATCACGCCAGGGCCGCCGCTGCCGCGGTGGCGGTACGGGCCCCCACGGTGCAACAGCTCCAGACGCTGGCGGCCGCACGAACCCAGAAAGAACCGGGAAGGCGGAGCATGCGGATTACCTCCCTCCGCGACGTCAACGAGGTCATTCCGCACTGGAACGAGCTCCACGACCACCTCCGGACGCACTTTTACCGGAAAAGCGTCCACCCGGACACCCTGTTTTTCGACGAGCCAGACGCGCCGGCACCCGCAACCACAACCACTACAACAACAACAGCGGCAGCAGCGGCGGTGTCTCCCGAAACCACCCTCGAAAGCGCGGGCGCCGAGGGCGTGCTTTCGTCTCTCCGCAACGCCGATGCGGGCCGCAGGAACAAGACCCCGAGCGACACGGCCRACCACGGATCGTCCTTCTTCGGGAACATTGCGGGCATACGGTTGCTCCCGAAACTCAGGACCATGGCCAAGCCGAGGGTATCCAGAGACCAAACCGGTGCCGACCCACCGAGCGAGGCCGGTACTCTCTCTCCTGCGCTGCCACCGCCGGAGACGGAGGATGCATGCACGACTTCGAAAGCGACACCCACACCCACATCCACATCCACACCGACAGCAACATCGCCACTAGAACCCGACGGCGTCGAGAGCGACGACGCTTGCGCCGAAAGCCTTGTCGACGAACAGGGAAGATCCGAGACCCCGGTTCTGGGACCGGGCGGTGGRAACAAGGACGRGGGATTGCACGCGAATGTTTCCCCTGGTAGGAGCAARGCSTTGTGCGCAGTCTGCTTGCAACAAGACGAGGACGAGGACATCGACGACGACGAACTCTCCTGGCCGGCGTCCCCCCCTAGGGGCCCAMCCGGTCCCACGGAACCGGCGAGGCGGTCGCTGCCCTCACCRACCACGCCCAAGAACACCGCGATCCCGGACAGAAAAGAATCGGCGTACAGCACCCCCGCCCACCTCCGCATCATCAAGGGCATCCACGGGAGCAGCGGAGGCGACGGGAAGGGACCCAAGAGCCCMACGCSTGGCGGGATTGGGGACTCTCCGCTCCCGGACGATCGCTGCGTGGCAACCCCCGCGGCGTGCGCGTATTCCGACTTTGAGCCGAACTCGATCATCGTCGACCCTTCCTCCCGGCACCGGCCGGAAGAGCTCCTGGGAAGCCCCTCCGCCAGCGAGATCCGGGCGAAGCACCTGGCCATCCCGGCCATCCAGGTGTCGCGGAGCGAGGGCGACCTCGGCCGGGCCTCCCGGACGCTCGCCCGGAGGACCATTCGGTACCACTGGCAGCCCCATGGAAGGGGAACGCCTTTGGTAGACTCGCCGACGACGCCCACCAACGCTCGGACCGACAAGCTTCTCAAGGCGGGAGCGGGATCTTCTCCTTGCCAATGCCGCGAACCGCCCTCCCCCCCCGGCGGCGGCGGCGGCGGCGTCTACCCGGTGTCGGAGTCCAGCAGCGGGGACGACGACGACGACGACCACCACCACCACCACGAGGACGACGACGACGACGACGACGACTCCACGGTCTCGAACGACCGCGTCCCCTTGTCTCCAAAGGTTGCGGCGGAAGCAGCGGCGGAGGCAGCGATCGCCGTCGGGGATCCGGTGGTCCCCCCGTACGGAGAGACGATGGACGAAAAGAAGGAAGCCGACGGCGCTCTCCCGGGCCTCCGGGACGCCCGGGAAGGGGTGGCCCTCTTTGGTGCTTCCGGGACSCGCCGGTACCCCCTGAACCTCTTTCCGGTTCCGGACGAAACGAGCGACAATGGCGCGGAACCTGCGAAACAAAAGCTCGGGGAACCGAACCCGGCTGCCGTTGTGGGCGGAGAGAGGCTGCAGACACGAACCCAACCGTGGGAGCTGGTTCCGAGAACCAAATACGCCGAAACAGAAAAGCCACCGGCGCTGGCCGCGGGCGGCTTTGCGGATCAAGAAGAGATRCCGGACGGAGCCCGCACGGCCGAACCAGCGGGAGAGAACGAAGCGATCCAMGGGGACAACGGATCGCTGGACGGCAGCTCTCTCGCCCGCGTCSAAGGCACATCGGTTTGCAACGGGCTTCCGTCCGCCGACACGAACTTCACCGCTGCCGTTCGAACGGTGCAGGGGGTCTTGTCCCACCTTTCCCTCGGCAGCCCCAAAAGCCCGGCCGGAGCGGAGGGCTGGAAGTCCGAAGCCGACAACAAGGAATTCCTCCGGAACTACTTTTACTGCGCCAGGGCCGAGGACGGGAACCATGCGAAGGACGCTCACTCGAAGCGCGCGGATGCCTTTGAGGCCGGCTTTGACTCGTCGGACAACCTTGGYGAGAGGCTCGCGTGCACGGTGCCCTGCAACGGACGGGAATCGCCGTGCTACATGTTTGGCATGGACACCATTTGTGGGTCGCTGGTGGACCTCCTCCCGAACCAGCACGACGGCGGCGGTGKAGACGCACCGCGAGCGGCCGGTGGCCCGTCGGCCCGGCAGGCCCCCCGGGGAGCTTCCTCCCGCGCCGCAAGGGCACGGGACCGGTCGTCCTCCATCGCCGCGGGCCAGGCCGCCCCCGGCCCGGCACCCCGGACCCCCGGGGGCACCACCACCTGGCTGGGCGTCGTTCGCAGGGTGGCGTCCGAGCGCCTGCACATCCGGTTTCCGGCGGACGCGGAGGGCGGCTCGGAAGCCCCCCAGCCGACCAAGCCGCAGGCCTCCTTTACCCCGCCCTGCCTCAGCCGCAAGGCGGTCTCGGCCCCGGCGCTGATCCGGAGCCAGTCCCGGTGAGGGGCCGCGGAAGCGGCCGAAGGATGCAGCGACCGCAGAGACCGCGGCAACCCAATCAAACCACCGGGATCCGCACCCTCCGCGGGCAAGTGCCATCCTTTGGCACGGCGATCGCGCGGGCCGTGGGACCGGACGAGACGAGACGGGACGATTGGTTTGCCGCATGCCGCGGTGCCACAAGGATCTGCCGAGCGGGCGCTCTGTGGGGCTAGAAGAATGCCGTGCCCGTACCATGCGCGTTGCGAAAAGGATGGCAGCAGAGCACGGCACAGTAAAGCACAGCACAGTAAAGCACAGCACGGCAGCAAAATTCCGTTCATAATAAAAACATCCTATTGCTACTTCCGTCTTTCTCTTGTGCTTGATTATTGTTTTTCAATCGTACCAGCCATGGCAATCAAGTTTTGTGGCATCCATACTACTGCTACGTATCGCGGTGTTGCTGCCGGCGTGTGGTGTTTGTTTGTTTGTTTGATTGATTGGCTTGGCTTGGCTTGGCTTGTTCGAGATCGACCACGGAATGCCGTTCTGTCGCGCAGTGGCAGCAATGGATGTAGGATACAACTACAACAGCRGTGTGCAATTCTGGCCGGTTGCGAGGAGATTGAGGAGTACTACGATGGATTTCGTGGGGGCTGGAGAGTAAGTATACTAAGCAATCAAGTAATACTAGATAGAATTACCCTAGCATCAGCAGGAGTAATCTGAATCCGTATTAATACTACTAGTACGTACTGCGTTACTCTACTCCCMAACATAAATACAGCACCGTACTGTTGTACAGTACACAACTTGGTACGAAATACGAAGTGCCCGTAACGGTAGTACGAAATAGCATCTAGGTCGTCTGTCGTCTGCCCTTTTTTTTTGTGAAGAATGGGCATGGTGCTGCAGTCGGTTGAGTCGAGGATCGACGGGCGCTAAGTCTGTGCCATTCTGCAATYGGTCCCACAAAGCAGGGGTTGGATTTGCTTCCATGTGGCGCAACGCAGCGAGATGGATATCGGATCGTACGGTGATTGTTGGGGTTTGCTACCTACGTACTCGTACAACAGTCGTACAGAGTTTCGTGTTGTTGTAGTATTGTAGTACTCTGGTAGTTGTYGTTCTCGTTGTTTTGATCTGAAAGCCCTTGATGTGCTCAGGACAACTAGTACACTCCCAATCCAACGTTTCACGGCGTGCAGCAACAATCAATTGATCCATTGGMAATCAACCAGGATCGGTGCCGAATTGAATCCACTCGGTCGCACAACTCGACAGAACACTCAACACACGACACAAAGGTTGGAAGTTTCCATTCACCTGCCGTAGCTAGCTTTATCATCGGCAACACAACAACGACTACAACGAAAAGACGAACTAGTTTTTAGTTTCAGTTTCAGTTCCCGTTACAGTTACAGCACAAGTTCCATCGCCAACAACCATGTCGAGAGTGTCGCTATTCCTTGCCTCTCCCCTRCTGGCGCTCGTCGTTTCGGCCGTGCTCCTCGCTTCCGGCGCGCACGCCGTCACCTCGCCGCAGTACAGCACGCTGATGGGATCCTCCGGGGGCCTCCGCCTGAACACGATCGCCTCCTCGGACGTCTCCACATCCGAAGGGGTCGTCTCCGTGATCACCAGTCCCGGGACCGAGTCCTTCCTGGTCGGGGGAAGCAGCGACGCCGACGACGTCCTCTCCTTTGACGGGAAACAGCTGCTGGTCTGCCGGGGTGCCACCCTGCGCGGGACCTCCCCGTCGGAGCGGAGCGCCCTGGCCATCACCTCCCTCGTCTCGGACGCCATTGTCGTCGACGGGATCACCGAGGGAGACGTCCGGGCGGCCGGCTTTGGAAAGAACACCCGCCACGCACGCACCCTGACGGCCCTCTTYCGTGCCCGCCTGGCCTCGTCCTCYGGTGACGCCGTTGAAAAGCAGGCGCTGGTGCTTTGCGTCAAGTCGGCACCGTCGGCCGACGGAGACTCCCTCGACGAGATTCTTGCAAAGGAGGTCAGGGATCTCTTCGAGGCCACCGCCGCCGAGGCCAAGGAGACCAAGGCCTCCTTTGACGATTTGTACGACGTGAGCGTTGTTTCGGTAACGAGCAAGGAAGACGCCAKYGAGGTAGGTTTCGATTGGTTTTGGTTTGGGTTTGTTTCGGKTTGTTTCACGSCCGCGTGTTTGTTGCCTGGGTTGGTACAACCTCTGCTACCTTTCGGTTTTTCTGTTTTCGAGTGTTGTTCATCTGACACACTTTTCTCGCGGTCCAACCGGATCGAACGGATTTGTGTACCCAAACGTACGTTCTGTGTGTGCCGTTTTGTTTCTCACTGGCAATTTCCTTTTCCTTCTCGGTACCGCCTGTTTCTCCGTTGGACTTTTTTCGTGTCGGGTGCTTCGCATTCGCATCCGCATCCGCAGACCCTCGCCACCGCCAAGAGCCTCGCGGCGTCCCTTTCCTCCTCCTCCTCCTCGGTTCTTTCCTCGGCCCTCTCGGACGCCAACGAGCGGATAAAGGAGTCGGGCGTCGCCTCGGTCGCCCTCGATCCCCCCCACATCGCGCACGCCTTTGTCGCCGTCAGCAACGCCCACGCCARGCAGTCCCGGAGCGCCCGGGCGAAGATCGCCTCGTGGAAGTCCCGTGCCTCCCGCGGCCTGTGGGCCGAGTCCTTTGGGTTTGAGGCCGAGGCCATGCGCCGCCGCGTCCTGTCGGGCTTTGACGCGGAGACCCTTTTGGCGGCGGGCCTCCCCCTCGTGGCCCCGTACCGGTTGGAGATGCGGAACCAGCTGGCCTCCCTCGTCGACTCGTCGATCGTCGAGCTCTTTGGGGCCCAGGTGGCCAACCTCGAGAAGCGGACCTCCAAGCGGCTGGGGAGCCAGCTCCTGAAGAAGCTGGATTCCACCCCCCCSGAGGAGGTCGCCAGCGAGAACGCGGCCGCCATCCGCGCGGCCATGGTCTCCTTCGAGGCCACCATGGGCGACCTGGAGGTCCCCTCGCTGAGCCTCACCAAGGCCAAGCCGTGTTTCGACATGGAGTCCAAGCTGACGGACGAGGCCATCAACTTCTACGACAGCCCGGCCGCGCAGATCAAGCGCACCAAGAAGGTCGCCGAGGTGGTGAGCAAGGAGAAGAAACCCGGCCAGCGCTCGGTCGACCTGGGACTGGACCTCGTGGCCGTCCTCCGCCCCGACGGCTTTGGGAGCCTCCAGGGCTTTGCCGGATAYCAGCTGGGGGGGAACAGCATCACCCTCGGGATCCACAACGACGCCGACGATCCGGCCACGATTTCCCAGTTCGGSGGGGTCCGGCCGCCGCTCCTGCGCATCCAGCCCAAGCTGCGCGTGGACGTGGAGATGTAATGCAATGGAATGGAAGGGCCGCTGTGGCGGTGCCACACCCAACGTTCTGAAAAAGCCCCTCGCACGAGATAATATCCTAGACAACTATTTGAAACACAAGTACAGTACGCGCCTAGTTTCGTTCCTGCAATCGGTATTTAKTAGTTACGATAGCAACCGCATGTATCTAAGAGGGGTTTGACGCTACTTCTAGACACAAAGCAAAACGACCTTCCAAAACAACAGACGCAAAACGCAACACACACCTCTGCATCACCACTGCAACGGAATCGAAATTTGCAGGAAGACTTGTCCTCAACTCACACGATTGGTTGTATCAATCTTTGCAACCCATACGAGTCGTCGAAGCATGGTGCCCGACAAACGAGTGGTGGGAAATGTGGAAGCAAGAAAACAAAACCTAGTTGGACAAATTCTGCTTTTCGTTAGTACTTGTGTGCCGTCCGTCCAGCCTAGCCTACTAAGATGCCGTATGGTACACTGTTTCTTCTAGAGTGCAGTGCCGCTGCCGCTGCTTTGCTCGTTTCGGGACCTCCATTGCCTTGCCTTGCCTTGCACTGCCAGCTGCGCTGCGCAGGGCTTGCTACAGGACCGAAGCCTCGTCGGCGTCCTCCTCCCCCGGGGCCAGCTCGTCGTCGACGGTCGTCGGCTCGTCCCCCCAGACCCTCGTGAAGGACTTTTCCTTGCGGACCAGGAGCTCCGGGACGCCGCTCCCGTCCCGGACGATCATGAGGTCCTCGTCGAGGTAGGTGACGTAGATCTCCCTCGAGTACTGCAGGACTCCCGGCAGGTCCACAAAGCCCCTGCYTAGGACCTCGGCGCTCTCGTAGGTCTCCTTCAGGCGGACGCCCGAGACGACCCCCAGGTCCGACTTGACCCTGACGGTGGAGGTCCCCCCCAGGAGGGTCTTGACGGAGACCGAGGCCTCGACCCGGGGGGCCGCCCGGCTGATGGAAATGTCCAGGGGGCCGGTGACCTCGACCAGGCCCCTTGGGAGCTGCTTGGCGAGCTGCAGGCAAAAGAGGCCCGGGCTGTAGCCCCCCGAGTAGAGAAAGAGGGCCGCCTGCCGCGTGGGCGAGTCCAGGGCCCCGGCCGAGGAATACAGGCCGGCGTAGGCYAGCTCCCATACGCCGTTGAGGAGGGCCGAGGTGGCGGGCTCGGGCGTCGGGTTGAGGGCCTCGAGGCCCAGGAGGGCCTCGTTGATGGCCGAACGGTTCTCCTCGGAGGGGGAAAGGCCGACGGTGGAGGGGAGGAGGTCCACGATTCGGCTCACGAGAGCCCCCGGGGTCTCGGTCTCGCTTCCGAGGGCCTTGTCGACGGTTTCGAGGCTCTCGGCGCTCTCCACGTCCACCGTGACCACGTCGTCGTTTTCGAGGGGGGTGTCGGAGGGCGAGTCGTTCTCCATCGACATGCTTCGAAGCGGGCTTGTGGTCCGCGGGAAGGAGGCGAGGGAAGGGGAAAAGCCGGAGGCATTGGGGGAGAGGGCCGCGAGAGCGATCGAAGCGAGGGCGGTGCCCCTGGCGATGCGGCTGCTGCTTTTGCTGCTGCTTTTGTTGCTGGTGCTCATGGTAGGCTATGGGGACGGGCGTGTGAAAGTTTCTCTTTTGCGACCGRGTGTGTCGCGTTTCTGGGGTTTCTTGYTGGTGTTGCTTCCGATGGGTTTGAATCGAAACACTCGTATACGGAAGGAGTGCCGAGTTTTTTTTGAATTGCGGTCGTATACGAAATTTCTCGTTGTTTCGGTTTTGGTTTTGTCGGAACGCTTATTGCTTATCGTATTCATTTTGGCCCGGGGAACACATTGAACAGGCGTGCAGGGCATGCGATTGGGCAAGAATCAAATCAATTCTCGAAGAAAGATTCTCCAGCGTGATTGAGTCAGAAGGAACTCGTGAGCCAGCAAAGTGGTGGAGCCCGACAACCCCCCCCCCCCTCCCGTTCATACCCACATGAGTACGTTCATACCCAGACAGATATGTTCATACCCACATGAGTACGTTCATACCTAGACAGGTATATTCATACTCACATGAGTACGTTCATACCCAGACAGATATGTTCATACCCACATGAGTACGTTCATACC